TCAGTGGCATATCTTCTAGCATGATAGCAACATGCAAGCCATCACAGTTCAACAAACTGACAGATGAGCGTTGGAAACCCATTGCCCTCCAGCTGATTCTGACTCATAGTGGCCCTATAATATAGTACCCCAAAAAACCAGGCCAAACTCGTTGCCGTTGAGTTGATTCTGACTCATAATGACCCTCTAGGACAGAGTAGAACTGCCCCATAGGATTTCCAAGGAGCAGCTGGTTGATTCCAACTGCCCACCTTTTGGTTAGCAGCCAAGCTCTTAACCACTGTGCCACCAGGGCTTCTATAATGTAATAAGCACCTATAAACCCATCACCCAACAACAGCCTACATCTAACCCCTTAGTCTCTCCATGCTGCCTTTTTTACCCCCCATCTGAGATGACCATCATTCTGAATCTCATATCATTTCCTTGCTTTTCATTTTATGTAGTTTTAATGACTTCCTGTATATTCTCAAAATATATGTGTGTGTGTGCATTTAAGTTAGTTTCAACTTTTAAAAAGGGTGTCATGCTGCAGACGATCTTTTGGGACTTATAGTTTTCCCCTAATAATGTTATGATTTCTTTATATTGTTGTAGGTCACTGAAGTTTATTCTTTTTGAATGCTGGATAGTATTATGTGAATATACTATAATTTATTCATTCAGTGTCTTGTTGATAGTGATTTAGGTTGTTTTCAGGTTATTGAAAACTGTGCAACTGTAAGTAAAGGCCAACTAGATAGTTTTTTTTTTTTTAAATCAAAATGGAAAAATCCTGCTTATAGAAATAAGTGAATAATAAAAATAAAAGAAATAAAAAATGTAAGATATTATCTGAGGTCTTAAAAGCTTGTGAGTGGCCATCTAAGATACTCCACTGGTCCCACCCCATCTGGAGCAAGGGAGAATGAAGAAAACCAAAGACACAAGGGAAAGATTAGTCCAAAGGACTCATGGACCACAAATACCACAGCCTCCACCAGACTGAGTCCAGCACAGCTAGATGGTGCCCAGCTACCAACACTGACTGCTCTGACAGGGATCACAATCGAGGGTCCTGGACAGAGCTGGAGAAAAATGTAGAAAAAATTCTAACAAAAAAAGACCAGACTTACTGGCCTGACAGAGACTGGAGAAACCCCAAGAGTATGGCCCCCGGACACCCTTTTAGCTTGGTAATGAAGTCCCTCCTGAGGTTCACCCTTTAGCCAAAGATTGGACAGGCCCATAAAACAAATCGAGACTAAATAGGCACACCAGGCCAGGGGCAAGGATGAGAAGGCAGAAGGGGACAGGAAAGCTGTTAATAGAGAACCCAAGGTCAAGAAGGGCAGAGTGTTGACGTGTTGTGGGGTTGGCAATCAATGTTACAAAACAATATGTGTATTAATTGTTTAATGAGGAGCTAATTTACTCTGTAAATCTTCCTCTGAAGTACGATAAAAAAAAGTAAGATATTAAAATAAAGAGTAACATTTAAAATAGAAAGTGTAAATCCCTCTGTAATCATATCCCCCGGGGATAACCAGTGTTAAGGTTTGGGGTATCTTTTTCTAGATTTCTTTTTCTTTTTTTTTTAAATATAATGTATATCTAAATACATATATACATATAATACATACATATTAATATTTTTAACAAAAAGGTCCATAACTCATTTATTTACTGTAACAATTTATCATGGATATTGTTACTTGTCATTACATATAGATCTACTTCATTTTTTTTTGTAGCTGTTCACTATTGTGTTTCATAATTTATTCCACAAATCCCCAGTTGATAGATATTTTAGTTATGTTCAATTTTCTGCTATTACAAACAACCTTGCGATACAGATTTTTCGGCATTAGTCTGATTATTTCCTTAAAATAATTTCCAAAAAGTGGAATTGCCGGATTAAAGGGCATTAATTTTTATTTTTATCTGTCAGTTTATTATTTATTGCCAGATTGCTCTCCAAAGAGAGTTAATTAACCTACGTTCTTATCACCATGTTGAGTCCAGAGCAGGGAGCATCTCGTCCAACCTGAAGTTGAAGAGAGGCTTCCTGGAGGAGGTGATCCCGGGACTGAGTCATGATGAAACTCAGTCATCAAAAGAGGAAATAATCTGCAGAGAAGCCAGGGTTGAATTTCCCCACTGGGCTCATTTGTATCCACCCTCTCCAACACCGGCCTCATTGACATTTGAAATCTTTGTCAAAAGAATTATTCCGTGCTTTTTTTTTTTTTTTTAAAAAACTTGTATTTATCTAGCAGGGGGGAACCCGTCGCTGTCGAGTGAATTCCAACTCATGTAGTGATCGTATAGGACAGAGTAGAACTGCTCCATAGGATTTCCAAGTCTGTAAACCTTGCCTGGACACCCTTGCCTGAAGCCGCCTCCCTCATTTTTCTCCCAGGGAGGGGCTGCTGAAATCGAAACAGTGAACCTTTCAGTTAGCCGCCGATCGCTTAACCACGGCGCCACCAAGGCTCCTCCTCTGTAGCGGAACGATTTCCTAATCCGCTTCCTGGTCTGGAGAAAACTGAAACAATGGCTACGGACGCTGTTCACTTAAAGATCATAGACAGAGAACGAAAAAAGTTGCTTGAAATCCTCCAGCAAGATCCTGATTCTGTCTTAGATACGTTAACCTCTCGGAGACTGATTTCTGAGAAAGAGTACGAAATTCTGGAGAAAATTCCAGACCCCCTGAAGAAAAGTCGAAAGCTGCTAATTCTGGTACAGGAAAAGGGAGAAGTGAGCTGTTTGCATTTTCTCAAATGTTTAGTTAGTACTTTTCCAGAGTCAGCTGCCATTTGGGACTTAAGTTTAAGGCACGGTAAGTTGAATTTTTTCACTCTTTGGGGGGATGAAGGGACAGATTTTCTGAAAAAAGACAATTATCGACTCTTGTTTTTGTTTGTTTTTCCCTGGAAGATAATCTTCAATGAAATACGGTATCAGGGAAAAGCGTCCAAATTTTAAAAAGCTGGCAACAACATATCTATCTCACTGATTTAGCGAACTGATAACTTGTTCGTATATACTCAAAACCTGGCAGTTGTTTTAGTCCTAGTGCAGACTGCTCGTTATTCTGACAGCTGCATCCTGAAATACTGATGGTTGGAAAGAGAATATTGTTAATGATGACACAGTCAGGGGTTTCTTTATCAACGAAGTGAACTCACGGACATTAACAGCCCCAAGACCACATGCTGCATCTTGAAAATAGCCGTTTTGAAAATAGAGGAAAAATAATCGTTAGCACACATAGATGATGGATCAGTAACTTCATTTTCTTTTGTGATAAGAATGCCAGCAGAACCTCAGTTTTCTAGAGCAATGCAGATGCTAATTCTTAAATGTTCAAAGATAATTAGTGGCCTAGGGGATAAGGGGAGCTGTGGTGGCGCAGTGGTTAAGAGCTTGGCTACTAACCATAGGTGGGCAGTTCAAATCCACCAGGCGCTCCTTGGAAACCCTGTGGGGCAGTTCTACTCTGTTCTATAAGGTCACTTTGAGTCGGAATCGACGCGAAGGCAACGGGTTTGATCTGGTTTGGGTAGGGGATAAGGGGAGCCCTGGTGACACAGTGGTTAAGTACTAGGCTGCTAACCAAAAGGTCACCTGTTTGAATCCACCAGCTGCTCCATGGGAGAAAGATGTGGCAGTAAGCTTCCATACAGATTGGAAACCCTAAGGGGCAGTTCTCCTCTGTCCTATAGGGTCACTATGAGTCAGAATCTACTCAGTGGCAATGGGTTTTGTTTTGTTTATTTACTTATTTTTTGGTTTTAGGCAATAAGAGAACAGCTCTCCCAGAAAGGATTGTTTAGCACTTCTGTAGATTACCCCTAGAGGTTGATACAGCTCCTTTTCTAGGAATCTAAATTATATTCAGGATTAGTTTAAGAGAAGACATTAGAGAGGTAGGAACTCAATAAAAAGGTGAATGTTGATGGACTTTAATGTAGGACAAGACTTACTTGCTTAGAAAAATAGATTTTATTATTTCTAGGACCTACTATTCCAAATTAGAGAAATTGAGGTCAGAGTCCATCAGCAATAGCTGCAGAAAGGTTGAATAGGTTGTGGGTCACAGTAAATCCAAAAGTAAACACTGTTCATAGGGTTAAAATTTTATGGTTTACTTGTTTACCTTTTGGGGTTGCTGGGAGCCCTGGTGGCATAGTGGTTAAGAGCTTGGCTGCTAAACGTCGGCATTTCTAATCTACCAGCCGCTGCTTGGAAATCCTACAGGGCAGTTCTACTCTGTCCTGTAGGGTTGCCATGAGTCAGAATCGACTCGATGGCAATGAGTTGGGTTTTGGTTTGGTTTTATGGAAGACCCAAACTAGTGAGCAAGGCAAAGTGTGATCCGATTTTCTTTAGTGGAAGAAAGTTCTGACAGTTGGTTTGGTACCATGCAAGTTATATAGGAAGGGGTGGGTATTCCTATCCTGTAGTGAAATGAAGACGGGGGATGATGCTTTGAGGCCTTGGAAACTCAAGTTATCAAATTTCTTTTGTTAATTTGGAAAAACAAAACAAAAACCTTCTTGTCCTTTTCAGATTTTTTAAAACATGAGACTACAGAACCTTCTCCATCTACGGGGGTAAGCAAGAATTCAGAAGATGCTTTTTTCTCTGGGAAGAAACAGCCTGAGAACCCTGAGATCACAGCGTCCTTCAAAAAGAAAGGGCAATTGGATTTGCAAACCTCTGACTCTTTTGGGGACAAGAAAATTAGTAACAGGGAAACTGCTTTGTCCTCAAAGGAGAAGAATGAGAAGGAATACAACACACCAAAAAACACATTCTCACATTCAGTTGAGGACGTTGAATATGAAGTTCCATCAACTATTACATATTTAAGGGATGGAGAGAGATACGAGGAACCAGATGATTCTTTATACTTGGGAAAAAAAGAATATCTAGAATCTGTTGGATACTTTGAAGACGCAGAAACCACTGTAGAAGAGAAGAACTATGATGACCCAGAGCACATTGTATATTATGGCGAAGAGGACTCTGAGTATTCAGAATACATGGAGTTCTCTGATGATGAGCAGAGTTATGAGGAATCAGAAACTGGCATGTTATCGGAGGAGGAGGAGGAAAAAAGTATGGAAGGTATGGGAATGATGCCAACATTTGATGTGTATAGTTTAGTTAGGCAACAACTTATTTTTAGGTTGCCACGACATAATAGGGAGAAGGGATGAGGGAGGACACCAGATGCCAGCAGAAGAGCAGCTACTCAGAAATTTCTTGTGTCTCTTGAACCTGGCTACTGCTCAGAGGTGGGTATTGGTAGGGAGGAGCACCCAGGACCTAGGACATGATGGATAATACAACCAAACGTAAGTATTGATTGTTAGCTTACAGACTTCTACAGTCATCTTCCATCATGCAGATCATTTTAGGGTTACCTCTATTCCTCAGAGTAAAACTACTTTATTAATTTTAGCACTTTTGTTACCCATGGAATATGGGGAAATTGGGCCTAACTCTTGAAGTAGAGACAATCAGTAGAATTTGTAGTGAATGGGTAAGATCCCCAAATATTGTTACTAGGCCTGATCCAGTCCATATATTGCCTTGATGAGGAAAATTATATCAGTATCTTGAATTAGAATATATATATATTTTAATTTTAAAAACAACTTTATTGAGGAATAGTTACATGTAATAAAATGCACCCATTTTAAGTGGGTATTTTGCTGAGTTTTTACAAATGCACAACTAACATGATCAAGATACAGAGCATTTCCATCTCCCAAAAAGTTCCCTGTGTCCTATCCCAGACTACCCCCTCCCCCGCAACTCCCCCAATATACAAACCTGGGTTCCAGGCAAACACTAGTCTTCTTTGTACAAGTCTGTGTGAACATATTATTTCATTTCTCTTGGGTAAATACCTATAAATGGGATTGCTGGGTCATATGGAAAATGTACTTTTAAAAATAATTTATTTCTGTTGTCGTTGAGAATATGCACAGTAGAACATAACACCAATTCAGTAATTTCTACATGTACAATTCAATGACATTGATTACATTCTTTGAGTTGTGCAATGATTTTCACCCTCCTTGTCTGAGTTGTTCTTCCTCCATTAACATTAACTCACTAGCCCCTAAGGTTCCTATCCAATCTTTCAAGTTTCTGTTGTCAATTTGATCCCATATAGATAGTTCTTAAAAAAGCATAATACTCAAGGCAGCTATTCTTTACTAGTTAAGCTAAATTATTGTTTGGTTTTAAGAAGACTTCAACGGATATTTTTGGTTTAAGGTTTAAAGATTATCTCAGGGTAATAGTTTCAGGGGTTCATCCAGCCTCCAAGGCTCCAGAAAGTCTGGAGTCCATGAGAAGTTGAAATTCTGCTCTGCATTTCCCCCCGCTTTCTATCAGGATTCGTCTATAGAATCTTTGCTCAAAGTGTTCAGTAATGGTAGCTGGGCACCATCCAGTTCTTCTGGTCTCATGGCAAAGGAAGCAGTTGTTCATGGAGGCAATTAGCCACACATTCCATTTCCTCCTCCTATTCCTGACTCTCCTTCTTCTTCTATTGCTCCAGGTGAATAGAGACTAATTGTTGTGCCTTGGTTGGCTTTTAAGCTTTTAAGACCCCAGGCACTATGCAGAGAACTAGGAGGTAGAACAGAAGCACTAAACAAGTTATTAGGCCAGTTAACTGGGATGTCCTATGAAACCATGATCCTGAACCTCCAAACCAAGGAACCAAATCCCATATGGTGTTTGGTTGTACATAAGCAGCATCAGCAGCTACGCTTTCTCTTTTTTTTTTTCTGTCGTTGCTGTAAATAACGGTCACACAACTTTTGCCATTGAATTTGAATATTTCTATTTTATTTTTGTACTTTAAGTGAAAGTTTACAGTTCAAGTTAGTCTCTCATACAAAAATTTATACAGACGTTGTTATGTGACCCTAATTACTCTCCCTATACTATGACAGCACACTCCTCCTTTCCACTCCTGATTTCCCATGTCCGTTCAACCAGCTCCTGACCCTCTCTGCCTTCTCATCTCACCTCCGGACAGAAGCTGCCCATTTAGTCTCATGTATCTACTTGAGCTAAGAAGCACACTCTTCACGAGTATCATTTTATGTCCCATAGTCCAGTCTAATCTTTGTCTGAAGAGTTGGCCTCAGGAATGGTTTTAGTTCTGGCTTGACAGAGAGTCTAGGGGCCATGCTTTCTGGGGTTCCTTCAGTCTCTGTCAGACCATTAAGTCTGGTCTTTTTACTAGAATTTGAGTTCTGCACCCCACTTTTCTCCTGCTCCATCAGGGACGCTGTTGTGTTCCCTGTCAGGGCGGTCATTGGTGGTAGCCGGGCTCCATCTAGTTCTTCTAGTCTCAGGCTGACGCAGTCTCTGGTTTATGTGGCCCTTTCTGTCTCTTGGGCTAATACTTTCCTAGTGACTTTGGTGTTCTTTATTCTCCTTTACTGCAGGTGAGTTGGGACCAATTGATGCATCTGAGATGGCTGCTCGCTAGCTTTTAAGACCCCAGATGCCACTCACCAAAGTAGGATGGAGAACATTTTCTTAATCAGCTTTGTTATGCCAGTTGACCTAGATGTCCCCTGAAAGCATCGTCCCCAGACCCCCACCCCTGCTATTCTGTCCCTTGAAGTGTTTGGTTGTATTGAGGAAACTTCTTGGCTTTGGTTAGTCCAGTTGTGCTGACTTCCCCTGTAGTGTGTGCTGTCCTTCCCTTTACCTAAGATAATTCTTGTCTGCTGTCTAGTTAGTGAATAATCCTCTCCCTCCCTCTCCACCCTCGTAACCATCAAAGAATGTTTTCTTCTGTGTTTAAACCTTTTCTTGAGTTCTTATAATAGTGGTCTTATACAATATTCGTCCTTTTGTGACTGACTAAATTCACTTAGCATAATGACTTCCAGATTCCTCCATGTTATAAGATGTTTCACGGATTCATCGTTGTACTTTATTGTTGCATAGTATCCTGTCTTAGTCATCTAGTGTTGCTATAACAGAAGTACCACGAGTGGGTGGTTTTAAACAAAGAGAAGTTTATTTTCTTACAGTAAAATAGGCTAAAAGTCCAAATTCAGGGTGTCAGCTCCAGGGAAAGGCTTTCTCCCTCTGTCAGCCTTCTCGTCAGTGTTCCCCTGGACTAGGAGCTTCTCCACGCAGGGACTCCAGGTCCAAAGGATGTGCTCTGCTCCTGGCACTGCTTTCTTGGTGGTATGAGGTCCTGCTGTCTCTCTGCTCACTTCTCTCTTTTATATCTCAAGATATTGCCTCAGGACACAATCCAATCTTATAGATTGAGTCCTGCCTTACTAACACAACTGCCACCCATCCTCCCTCATTAACATCATAGAGGCAGGATTTACAACATACAGGAGAATCACACAATAGCAGGAATCATGGCCCAGCTAAATTGATACACACATTTTTTGGGGGACATAATTCAATCCATGACATATCCCCCTGTGTGAATATACCATAATTTGTTTATCCATTCATCTGTTGATGGACACCTAGGTTGTTTCCACCTTTTTGCTATCGTGAACAGTGCTGCAATGAACATGAGCGTGCATATATCCATCTATTCATGTGACGGCTCTTATTTCTCTAGGATATATGAATTTGAATATTTCTTAGTCAAAATTCAAAATATGAGAAATATTTCACTTGAGGAGATATTGTCTGAGAAAGTAAACATCATCCAGTTCTCAATAGAGAATGGGAATGGGAAGATAGCTACCAGCTCATGTTCAGTCTTGGGGGCTCACAATCCAGTTCTCCTTCTGTTGGAAAAGAGTAGTTTCCTCCTCTTCCCCATTTCTATATACCTTCCCAACATATGGTTGCTTTTAGGTCTCATTAATTTTTATTTATTTATATATTTTAGTCATTGCACAAACCAAAACCAAACGAGTTACTATTGAGTTGATTCCAACTCATGGCAATCCCATGTGTGTCAGAGTAGAATTGTGTTCCATACTTTTTTAATGGCTGATTTTTCTGAAGTAGATTGCCAGGTCTTTCTTCTGAGGCATCTCTGAGTGGACTCAAACTACCAACCATTCAGTTAGCTGCCAAGTGCTTAACCATTTACACAACATAGGGATGCTAGTGGTTGTGTAGGGTTAGATTAATTAGTTCACTGCATAGTATCATCATTGGTGTTCAGAGAGCCCCTTTTATTTATCTATTCCTTTTTTTTTCTCCACCCCCCATTCCTACTCACTTTACCCCATATGTAACATTCTAATATTATTATGTATACTTAAATGGTGTTGTTTTGTTTGCCTGAATTTTTTATGTCTCAGTTGTTTGTTGCCACCAGAATGCTGCATAACAAACCACCTCAAAATTCTGTTGCTTGAAACAGTGAGAGCTTATTATTGTTTATGTGTCTGTGGTTTGATGGTTAGTTCTGGTCTTCTCTGGGCTCACTTCACGTATCCGTGGGCAGCCGCTAGTTGGGTCGGAAGCTCTGCTGATATTGACTGGGCTCTCTCACACGTTTGGGGACTGTAGGCTAGTCGCTTATCTTCTAGTGGGCTAGACAGGGCTTGTTCTCAGCCTAGATGAGGTGTGTTCTTATGGCAAGAGCAAAGGAGTAAGAGAGAGGGAGAGAAGAGAAAGGAAATAGTCAAGGCCTCTTGAAGCTAAAGCTTGGGACTATCATGCTATCACTTCTGTCACATTCTGTTGGCCAAAGTACGTCACAAAGCCAACCTAGATTCAACGCTTGGGGGAATATACTCCACCTCTTGCAAAGTAACATTGCAAAGGATATGGATACTGAGAGGCCATTAATTGGGGCTATTATTGCAATCAATCTAATACCTTTAGTGAAAGAGGTCAAGGAAAGTCTCAATAATAAGTTATGGCCTGTAATCTAAATCTGATGGCTACCAATCCCCTCTAGTTGACTGGAGACATGTGGCTGACCTCTGTCTCTTTCCTGAGTGATGTTTGTCTGCAGGTTATTGTTGTTAGGTGCCGTCAAGTCAGTTCCAACTCATAGCGACCCTAGGTGCAAGAGAACGAAACACTGCCCAGTCCTGCGCCATCATCACAATCGTTATGCTTGAGCCCATTGTTGCAGCCACTGTGTCCTTCTATCTCGTTGGGGGTCCTCCTCTTTTTCAATGACTCTCCACTTTATCAAGCATGATGTCCTTCTCAGGGGACTGATCCTTCTTAATAACATGTCCAAAGTACATGAGATGAAGTCTTGCCATCCTCACTTCTAAGGAACATTCTGGCTGTACTTCCAAGACAGATTTATTCGTTCTTTTGGCAGTCTATGGTATAGTCAATATTCTTTGCCAACACCATAATTCAAAGGTGACGATTCTTCTTGGGTTTTCCTTATTCACTGTCCAGCTTTTGCATTCATATGAGGCGATTGAAAACACCATGGCTTGCGTCAGGCGCACCTTAGTCCTTAAAGTGACATCTTTGCTTTTAAAACTTTAAAGAGGTCTTTTGCAGCAGATTTGTCCAGTGCAGTGCGTCTTTTGATTTCTGACTTCCATGGGTGTTGATTGTAGATCCAAGTAAAGTGAAATCCTTGACAACTTCAGTCTTTTCTCCATTTAGCACGATGTTGCTTATTGGTCCAGTTGTGGGGATTTTTGTTTTCTTGAAGTTAAGGTGTAATCCATACTGAAGGCTGTAGTCTTTGATCTTCATCAGTAAGTGCTTCAAGTCCTCTTCACTTTCAGCAAGTAAGGTTACGTCGTCATCTGCATAATGCAGGTTGTTAATGAGTCTCCCACTAATCCTGATGCTGCGTTCTTCTTCATATAGTCCAGTTTCTTGGATTGTTTGCTGAGCATACAGATTGAAGAAGTATGGTGAAAGGATACAACCCTGACACGCGCCTTTCCTGACTTCAAACCACGCAGTATCCCCTTGTTCTGTTCGAACAACTGCCTCTTGATACATATATAGGTTCCTCATGAGCACAATTAAGTGTTCTGGAATTTCCGTTCTTCGCAATGGTAACTGAAAAAAAAAAATCTAAATGCATCTGACTTGAAGGAGAAGGGTCTTCATGCTTTTTGTCCTGTTAAATTTCATTCCATAAAATAACCACAGTGTCCAATCAAAGTCTCAGGAAGACTTACAACATTGCCTTCTGTATTCTTTGCTGCAGAAGGCCAACTTGTATAAACTGTATCAGTCAACTCCCTTCCCCTCCAGCTTGTAGTTGGGTTCAGCCAACTACATGTATTTACTATTTATATTTACCCATATATTACGATTTCTTTCTGAAGATCCAAGTTTCCATTTGATGTCATTTACCTTCCATCTGAAGAACTTTATTATTTTTTGTAGTGCAAATATGCTGGTGGTAAATCCTCTTAGATTTTGTTTATTGAAAATATCTTTATTGTGTCTTCATTCTAGAAGAATATTTTTCCTGAATGTAGAATTCTGGATTGACATTTTTTTGCCTTCAGCACTTTATGGATGCCATTCCTCTGTCTGTTGGCTTCCATTGTTTCTGGTGATAAGTCTTCAGTCATATTATCATTCTTCCCCTGTAAGTATCGTCATTTTTCTCAGGTTGTTTTCAAGATTTTTTTGTTGTTGTTGATTTTTTTCAGCAGTTTGACTCATGTGTCTAGGTGTGATTTTCTTTGTTTTTATCCTGTTTAGGGTTTGCAGAGCTTCTTGAATCTGTAATTTTTAAAAATCAAATTTGGAAATTTTTCAGCCCTTATTTTAGTCAAATATTTTTTTTTCTGCCCATTTGCTCTCGCCTCTCTTTCTGAAACCTCAATTACCTGTGTGCTAGACTTCTTGATATTGTTCCACAGGTTCCTGAGCCTATGTTCATTTTTTTATTCAAAAAGTTTTCTCTCTGTTCTTCAGGTTGGATCATTTCTATTGCTCTACATTTAAGTAAAGTGACTCTTCTGTCATCTCCAATATGCTGTTAAGGCCATCTAGTAATTTTTAAAAAATTCAGGTATTGTGTTTTAAATTATAGACTTTCTATTTTATTCTTTTTTTATACTTTCTATTTCTCTTCCATGAATTCCTATTTAGTCACTTATTATAGATCTATTTTCTTTTACATTCTTGAGAATAGTTAAAGAAAAAAAAGGTTGACATTGAGTTGACTCCAGCTCATGGTGACCCCACATGTGTTACATTAGAACTGTACTTTATAGGATTTTTAAGGACTAGTTTTTCAGAATTAGACTACCAAAGTTTTCTTCTAAGGCAATTTTGGGTGGACCTGAATCTCCAGTCTTTCAATTAGCAGTTAAGCACATTAACTATTTGCACCACCAGGGAATTCCATTATCTTGGCAACACTGACATCTGGCCTGGGCTGTGTGGGTGCTTATTTCTGTGCTGAAGGAGCAGGGGATGGTCATCCTAAAACAAAGTAGGAGATGGGAAAGAGGAGGACTTAAAAGTTTTCCTGCAACTTATTCTCTCACTGCCTCACCTGGGAACCCTTCATGTTAGCAGCCAATTCCCCTTCACCTTCTTGCTCTAGCACATATTTCAGTTTAAATACCTTTTCTACTACCCAAGAGTTTCTTATAGTTACTTTTGTTAATTCCTGAAATCCATTTAACAACAACAACAACTCTCACTTCTATAGATTCTTCTAGGCCCATTTTTACAAGGGGATCCAAGCAGCTCCTGGTAGCTTGCCACAATCATGATCCATTGTCATTTTCCTTCTTCACTAATTACCACCTCCTATTCCCATCCCTGCTGATAACATGTCCAAAGTACGTGAGATGAAGTCTCGCCATGCTCTCTTCTAAAGAGCAGTCTGACTGTACTTCTTCGAAGACAGGTTTATTCGTTCTTCTGGCAGTCCATGGTATATTCAATATTTTTTGTCAACACTGTAATTCAAAGGCATCAATTCTTCTTCAGTCTTCCTTATTCATTGTCCACCTTTCGCATGCATGTGAGGCATATGAGCTTGGGTTAGGTGCACATTAGTCCTCAAAGTGACATCTTTGCTCTTTAACACTTGAAGGAGGTCTTTTGCTGCAGATTTTCCCAGTGCAATACGTCATTTGATTTTTTGACTGATGCTTCCATGGGCATTGATTGTAGATCCAAGTAAAATGAAATCCTTGACAACTTCAGTGTTTTCTCCGTTTATCATAATCCTGCATATTGGTCCAGTTAGGAGGATTTTTATTTTCTTTATGTTGAGATGTAATCCATACTGAAGGCTGTAGTCTATGATCTTCATCAGTAAGTGCTTTAAGTTCTGTTCACTTTCAGCAAGCAAGGTTGTGTCATCTGCATATCGCAGGCTGTTAATGAGTCTTCCTCCAATCTTGATGCACTGTTCTTCTTCATATAGTCCAGCTTCTCGGATTATTTGCTCAGCATACAGATTGAATAACTATGGCGAAAGGGTACAACCCTGATGCACACCTTTTCTGACTTTAAACCACGAAATATCCTCTTGTTCTGTTCGAAGGGTAGCCTCTTGTTCTATGTATGGGTTCCTCATGAGCACAAGTAAGTGTTCCTGAATTCCTGTACTTCACAATGTTATCCATAATTTGTTATGATCCTTTGCATAGTCAATAAAACACAGGTAAACAACTTTCTGGTATTCTCTGCTTTCAACCAAGACCCAGCTGACATCAGATTAGCAAAATAAAAGGAAGAACCTAAATGATCATCAGTAGGTGATAGTTAAATAAATAATGGCCCATACAAACCATGGAATACCATGCAATGGATAAAATTATATAGAGAGACTTAGAAGAATTTGCAAGAAATACCATTTAGTAAAAAGAGGTTGAAGAGTCATTTGTTTAGTATGATATCATTTATGTAAAAATAACATTCATTATATATGTATATACTTGTACTTTTGTAGAAAAAAGGATGGGAAGCAAACATACCATATTGACATATCTCAGAAGTGAAGTGGGATTGGCAGGGTGATGAAAGTTCTTGGACTTTCACTTTATTTGTATTGCTGGGTCTTTTTGCAATGAGAAGATCAGTTACTTATCTAATTTTAAAAGTTTTTGAGGAAAGCTTAGACTGCAAACATGGCATTCACTGAGTATCTTTTCTCCAACAGAAAGAAAAAAAGTTTTTAAAGATGTCCTGTCATGTCTGAACATGGATAGGAGCAGAAAGCTTCTACCAGATTTTGTTAAACAATTCTCCTTAGACCGAGGATACGCATGGACACCTGAGACTCCTGGAGATTTAGCTTGGGATTTCCTGATGAAAGTTCAAGCGCTGGATGTGACGGCCAGAGATTTGATTCTTGGGTACAAGGTTCCGAGTGAGGACAGAAAAGGGGAATTGCTAACCGAAATGAAGAATTTGGAACTTAGAGACGTACAGACCATTAATCCCCTTGATGTCCTTTGTGCCACCATGCTTTGTTCAGATAGCTCTTTGCAATGTGAAGTCATGTCTAACATGTATCAGTGCCAGTTTGCTCTTCCCCTGCTACTGCCAGATGTAGAAAACAACAAAAGCATCTTCATGCTGGGGGCTATGAAGAACATTGTGAAGAAGCAGTCAGCCCAGTCCTCAGGAGGCCCTGCCGAAGATACAGAAGACTTTCTGGCTCACATCAAGATGCCTGTCATCTCTTTTGTTCGTTTAGGATGCTGTAGCTTCTCCAAGTCCAAAATCCTCAACAAACTGCTCAGGCCTGCCCAAATGAAATCACACAAAATCTTTCTTCATCAGGATTCACCTGATCTGGTGCTTCCCCGGCAAATCTCTGATGGCCTGGTTGAGATAACTTGGTGTTTTCCTGATGGCGATGATCTAAAGGAAAATCTTAATTTTTTTCAAAAGCCTGTTGCTGTGGCTAACCTTCATGGAGACCTAGAATATCTTTGGATACAGTTTGGTTTTTTGATGGAAGTTTCCTCAGCTGTGTTTATTTTCACTGACTACCTAGGTGAGAAGGAATGGAGCCTGCTGAGGTTTTTAGGAGAAGCTGCCATTAAAAGATGCTACTTTGCCCTCAGTCCCCAGGCCAGGGAGAATGAAGAGGCTCAGATTTTTCAGAGGATCATGGAATTGAAGCCATCACAGCTACTGTATTTAGAAGGAGAGGAAGCTGGGGATAGAAGGAAGGACACGGAGTGCCTTCAAGCTGCCCTCCAGGAAGTGATGTGCTCTTCACTCAAATGTGTGTCCATGGAGGACATGGCCTCTCTGGCCGGGGAGTTGGGGATCCAGGTAGACAAAGAGTGTGAGAACACTCAAGGAATTCAAGTTTCTTCTAGTGAAAACATGGCTGGAACAGCTGAAAGTGTGGGACAACAAAGACATAGTAAGCCAAAAACCCCAGCTCAGATGCCTACAAGAGATTCTGGGGTTATATGTGGGGTCAGCCAGAATCCTGAGAATATCTACTCCACCCCAGTTTTCATGTCTCCTCCACAAAACTCCTGGCCTTTACCATCTAGCATTGGAGGTAACTTTAACCAGGCTTCCTCGAAACCCCCCTGGCTTATGGGCTCCCCCTTTTGGCCAGAGCAGAGGTGTAAGTGGTTGCATCCTTTGGCCTTACATAATACAAGGGCCCATAGTCAAGGTAAGAGTTTTGGTCTCCAATACTTCCAACCCCAGAGATTTTATTCAGGTGAAAGATTCATGAAATTTTCGAGAACTGCTCAGGGATTTCACTGGAATGGAAGGTTTGGGAGGCCACCAAGACCTATCTCTCAGCATGCACAGGCCTGGCCTAAAAGACCAAAAACAATTGGAGCTTTTGAAAAGTCTGGGGCAGTGGTCTCCCAGGTAGGTTACTTCTATCCCCTGGGCTCACAGCCAGCAGAAAGACTTGGAAGGCCACAACCTGGGCCAGCCTGTGCTCAGGGAATACAGCTAGCTGCAGGAACTGGAAAACTAATGAGAACAACTTCCCATATAGAAGATCCTTATCATCAAGGCTTTCAACCAACAGGAACTATGCAAAAGCCCATAAGACCTGCCTCTCAGAAAGCAGCCCAGCAGAAGATGCAGAGTAGGCCTTCAAATCCAGCTTTCCAAACACGACCCCATCCTATGTCCAACAGCAAGCTTTTACCCAGCTCTCAGTCCAAATCCAATCAGCCCAAGCACTCAGAGCCTCAGCCCTTCCAACATGTGTTCTCTCAACCCAAGCCTACTCAAATAAAACCCACTCAGCCCCAGCCCTCCCAACCTAAAGCCCCCCATTCCAAACCCAGTCAGCCCAAGCCTTCCCAACCTAACGCTTCCCAGTCCAAACCCACTCAGCCTAAGCGCTCTCAACCTAAGTCATCCTGGGCCAGTCCTTCACAGGCCAAGATATACTACCCAAGAGCAGGTTCCAAAAGAGCAGGGAAGCATTAAAGTGTTTACGCCAGGGACCTATGAAGCGTAGCCTTTACCTGGGTCATTCCTATCATGTAGTAACCGAAAGAATTTCAGTGATGGTAAAAGACTGCTGTCTTTAGCATGACACAGAAAGAAAGATACGCAAAGCTTGATTGGATATCATTAAAATACCTGTAACTGACAGGGATAATATGAAGAAATTAAGAATAGAATCAAGCAGTAAATAAGTTAGTTCAATCCAACCTTGAGTATTAGGTAATGTGTAGGTTGAATCCAGGGATGGGGGCTGTGAGACAACCTCATTTGAAGGAGAATGGATTTAAAGGAGCTCTGGTGGCGCAGTGGTTAAGAGCTTTGCTGTTAAACCAAATGTTGGCAGTTCAAATCCACCAGCTGCCCCTTGGAAACTCTATGCGGCGTTTCTACTCTGTCCTGTAGGGTCACTATGAGTTGGAATCGACTCAGTGGCAACGGGTTTGGTTTATTTTTGGTGTAGTTGCTGAGTGAGGAGTCCCTGGGTGGCACAAATGGTTATGTGCTCAACTAGTAGTGTAAAGGTGTTGGCACTTCAAACCCAGCCAGTGGCGCCTTGGAAAACAGATCTGGCAATCTGCTTCTGAAAGATGAAGAGCCTTGCAAACCCTTTGGAGCAGTTCTACTCTGCACATATGGGGTTGCCATGAGTTGTAATCGACTTGACAGCAACTAACGACAATAACAATAGTTGCAGAAACAAAAAATACCTCGGCCGTCGAGTCAATTCTGACTCATAGCGACCCTATAGGACACAGTAGAACTGCCTCGTAGAGTTTCCAAGGAGCGCCTGGTGATTCAAACCACCAACCTTTTGGTTAGCAGCCATAGCTCTTAACCGCTACACCACCAGGGTTTCCAATAGTTGCACAGTGACCATAAAATCGGGCTCAAATGGCCACAGCATTGCAAGAAAAATTGCCCTAGATATTTGCTATTCCAGAGGCACCTTGGTCAAAAGTTTCTGGTCCAACATCAGCCTGCTGAATAGATAACCCTGTTTATCTTGGGTAGTTATATCAACTTTCTTGGTATAGTAACCTCAATTTGTTGAGATGATAAAACTCTCTTACATATAAAAGTAATGAACTAAAAACCAATAAAATTAATTCATTTGTATTAAAATATTTGTAATATTTAAGAAATTTAGCTTATTAGACGACCAAATATATTAGTCTTATGATTCAAATTTAAAATATATAATTGAGTTTTAAACTTTAGAGTTGCAATTTTTTAAGTTGAAAGGATTAAGATAAGTTTACAAAATTTGAAAAAGTATTGAAATGTTTAAGATAATTTAAGATTCACTGAATTTGTAATGTTAACTTATTATATTCATTATTCTAAGTATTTGATTAAGTTCTGATAATTGGAAGCATTAAGTTATATGACTATATTAAATTTGTAAACACCATTTAAAATACATTGGTTTCTCGGTGAACATGGGGGACTGGTTCTAGGAATCCCTGCAGATACCAAAATCCTCAGATGCTCAAGTCCCTTGTATAAGATGGCATAGTATTTGAAGTAGAATGGGGCAGTAGGATTGGAGGAAGATTCATTAACCTGCGTTATGCAGATAACATAACCTTGTGTGCTTAAAGTGAAGAGGACTTGAAGCACTTACTGATGAAGATCAAAGACCACAGCCTTCAGTATGGATTACACCTCAACCTAAAGAAAACAGAAATCCTCACAACTGGACAAATAAGCAACTTAATGATAAATGGAGAAAAGACTGAAGTTGTCGAGGATTTCATTTTACTTGGATCCACAATCAACGCCCATGGAAACAGCTGTCAAGAAATCAGAAGATGCATTGCATTGGGCAAATCTGCTGCAAAAGACCTCTTTAAAGTGTTAAAAAGCAAAGATGTCACCTAGAAGACTAAGGTGTGCCTGACCCAAGCCATGGTGCTTTCAGTCAGCTTATCCGCATGCAAGAAAGCTGGACGATGAATAAGGATGACAGAAGAATTGACACCTTTGAATTGTGGTGTTGGCAAAGACTATTGAATATATCATGGACTGCCAAAAGAATGAACAAATCTGTCTTGGTAGAACTACAACCAAAATGCTCCTTAGAAGCAAGGATGACGAGACTACGTCTCATATACTTTGAACATATTATCAGAAGGGATCAGTCCCTGGAGAAGGACATCATGCTTGGCAAAGTAGAGGGTCAGCGAAAAAGAGGAAGACCCTCAACAAGGTGGATTCACACAGTGGCTGCAACAATGGGCTCAAGCATAACAATGATTGTGAGGATGGTGCAGGACCGGGCAGTGTTTCTTTCTGTTGTACATAGGGTCACTATAAGTCAGAACCGACCCAACAACACAGTATTTGCATATAACCTACGTACATCCTCCAGTATACTTTAAATCATCTCTCGATCACTTATAATACCTAATACAGTGTAAATGCTATGTAAATAGTTGTTATACTGTATTGTTTAGAGAATAATGACAAGAAAAAAAGTCTTTTCTTTTTTTAAATATTTTTGTTCTGAGGTTGGTTGAATCCGCAGATGTAAAATTTAGTTAACTAAGTTTATGAGTCGGAATCAGCTCGACAGCAATGGGGTTTTTTTTTTTTAAGCTTGTAAATGACACCAAATATTAATAAAAGATCCCTTTAAACGTAGATGTTAAAATTCACTAGATTTATAAATTAAATAAGAGGATTTGTTACTTGAATTTAAGAATACTAGCTTTTGAATTTGAACCTTTAATAAAATTACTATTAATTTCAAATGTTAAAACGTTTGAATTTTTTTTTTCTGGGTTGAAAAACATCATTTTCTGGGTTAAAAAAATACTTTCAAGCACACCCAAGAAAAATCATACTGACAAATGCATGAGAAATGACTTTGAAAAGAATTAATCTTTAAGAACATTCTCATACTACATAGGTATCCTTCATTTGTTTTTTCATGTATTAAATAATCAATATTGAGCATTAACGGTGCTAAATCTCTGAAGGTTGAAAGGGTGAAGAAAGAAATAGAAGAGTATGCATGTGAAATGTTATCTTTATCTTTGGGCAGGAGAAAAAGTATAATAACTAATTCATAACTACAAAATCTTTGATGTAAAAGTGGAGTTTCTCAACTGAAAATAATTTCTTTATTTAAACTTGTTCAATTGCTCATTCTTGAAACGAGCAATGGTTGTGATTGTTTTTTTTAACGTTTCTCTGAATCCTTCTCCAAGATTAGTTCCTGGAGGATAGAAGCTACTGGGTTCTTATCACCAATAAATTCTATGTCAATCTAGGCAATAAATATGTGGACCCTTCAAATTAGGTAATTTAAGAAGAATTTAATAAAGACACTATTTTAAAAAAAATTTATCCCATACAAAAATTTATACATACATTGTTATGTGACTCTAATTGTGACTCTAATTGCTCTCCCCATACTGTGATAGCACACTTCTCCTTTCCACCCTTGATTCCCCATGTCTATTCAACCAGCTCCTAACCCTCTCTGCCTTCCCATCTCACCTCTGGACAGAAGCTGTCCATTTAGTCACTTGTATCTACTTGAGCTAAGAGGCACACTCTTCATGAGTATCACTTTATGTCCCACAGTCCAGTCCAATCCCTGTCTGAAGAGTTGGCCTCAAATTATTTTAGTTCTGGGCTGATAGAGAATCCAGAGGCCATGGTTTCTGGGGTTCCTCCAGTCTCAGTCAGACCATCAAGTCTGGTCTTCTTACTAGAATTTGAGCTCTGCACCCTACTTTTCTCCTGCTTCATCAGGGACTCTCTTGTGTTTCCTGTCAGGGCGGTCGTTGGTGGTAGCAGGGCACCATCTAGTTCTGCTGGTTTCAGGCTGATGAATTCTCTGGTTTATGTGGTCCTTTCTGTCTCTTGTGCTAATACTTTCCTTGTGTCTTTGGTGTTCTTCATTCTCTGTTACTCCAGGTGGTTGGGACCAATTGATGCATCTTAGATGGCTGCTTGTAAGCTTTTAAGACCCCAGATGCCACTCACCGAAGTGGGATGCCGAACATTTTCTTAATAAGCTTTGTTATGCCAGTTGACCTAGATGTCGCCTGAAAGCATGGTCCCCAGACCCCTACCCCTGCTACTCTGTCCCTCAGAGTGTTTGATTGTATTGAGGAAACTTCTTAGCTTTGGTTTAGTCCAGTTGTGCTGACTTCCCCTGGAGTGTGTGCTGTCCTTCCCTTCACCTAAGATAATTCTTATCTACTATCTAGTTAATAAATAACTCTCACCCTCCCTCCCCACCCT